TGGGCCAAAGGCGCGAATAAATAGCAGTTTCCATCTCATTTTAGCACAGTGATGAACGGGGTGTTACAGCTGGCATGCATGCAACGAACATGGGTGCATGCGTCCAGTCGAACGTGTGCTTGCGTGCACATCCCATTTGCACAAGGTACGTGGTGCGCAGTTTACGCGCGCCACCGTTCGACCGGCAGGTTGCCGCCATTCGAGAGGCATGTGTTGTTCCTCGGCCAGTGTGCCTACGATTTTTATGCCGTCGTCTCATTGACCATCCATCAATCACGTCTGCCAGTCGTCACGTCGTATCAGTCTACTTTTTTCCTCTCGTTTCTTCCTGGATTTGTGCCACTTGGTGAAAATCCAACTGTTCTCTTTTTTTATAAATAGGAACCCTCCTCACCACTCCTTCATCACTTCATCTTCATTTTCCATTCATTAAAGCAATTATAGAGAGAGAAAGAGAGTGAACTAGAGGGAAAGAAAGAGAGAAGGAAAGAAAGGAAGAAGTAGGAGGGTAGGAAAGACTTCAAGCTTTCGATAAGAAAACTTGGTATTTATTCGTACGTTTTAAGGAATATTTTTAGATTAATAAAATGAATATTGCATTAATGAGAGATGGCTTGTTACATGTTTAAATTATAGCTATGCCTTTAACATATTTACACACATATTCCATGATTTTGCATGTTTTATATCGTACTAATATTTGTAAGTAAATAAGTAAATAAAATAAATATGATAAGAGATGATGTAAGAAGCATAATGTTATTTGATGAACATGTGAAAATGAATATCGACATTTGCATACATGGTATTAAAATTAAATTCGTTAGAGCTTTTGTCTTTGAGGGATTTTGTTTCTCTCCCATCTGGTGTGAAAAGACGTGAGAGAATCGCTCCTTATGGATGATGGCGTATTTTATGACGAGAGTGGTTACACAATATGATTTTAGGGGTCATCTTGGAGACGTATAATTGTGACTATAGTTTATATGTAGGACTATTGTAGCTGACACAGTTGTGGTCATAGAATGTGTCATGGTTTCGCAAGCTGTAAATGTGTTGTAGTTTAGCAAGCTATAAATGTTCTGAAAATGAAATGAATTTGGTCATTCCACAGTGGTAGTTAGGAATCCGTATTACCCTAAGTAGATAAAGATCCGAATGGTTTCGCACGGAGAATAAGTAAAAAATGAAAATAAAGCATGATATGATATGATTTGTTTGATTTTTTATGTTTTATACATGACATGATTATATGTTTGATATGATTGACTTGATGTTGATGTTTTATAGATAAAGTAAAATGTTTTTTTTACTGTTGAAATGGACCCACATGCATGATCTTTAATGGTAAACAAAAAAGGTATAATTTCTAAGTTTAAGTATTTTTAAAATCTTAATAATATTAATTAAATGCTATTTTTCTTACTGAATATATGAAACTCACCCTTTTCCATGCCTCCTCCCCCTCCCTCCTCAAATGAGGACGATAGTGAGGAACCACTTATTGACTTACCCATTAAAGTCTTTGAGGATTTTGTAGATCCATGAACCGTTATGAGTGCATGTTTTGTTTTGCACTCTGATGAGTCCACTTTTGGAGAGGCTTATATTTATTTTGTTGCCTCAGTATTGTAAGATTTGGAACTCTAACTTATTTTGTAAGGGATTGTAATATATTTTATTCCGTTGCATATAATTATTTTAAACACACTCGTATCTGTTTCTGTATCTGACACCCTTATGCTTTAATTAGTATTTGGGATGTCACAAATGATATTTAGTAGTTATGTAGAATAATCCCTTATGCTGAGGCTGTAGCCTAGGAAAACCACTCTAGATACTTAGGATATTTCCTTTCCTAAAAACTAATCCATCAATTTATTGTCTCCCTTTTCTTTTGTAGGACCATATGACTCGAGGGAGATGTTCTGTAGAAAGAACTAAGAGACCTCAGGCCAAGGATCCACCAAGCAGGGTTGAGTTTATCGAGCTTTTCCAAACCATTCAAGGTCTAACCATAGCGGTACGTCAAAACCAAGCCAATTGCTATCAGTATCCCCCAGCCTCTGACATAGCCAAGCTGAACGATCTACTCCCATAACATTACCAAGTTTGGAAGATAGAATCCACCCCACTTCGAAGGAGGCCCTGAACCCTTAGATGTAGAAGTCTGGATCTTGTAAATAGAAAAAATTTTCTCTGTCCTAGACTTAATTGAATAACAAAAAATCCCCCTTGCTGTCTTTATGCTAACTGGAGAAGTAGAGCATTGGTGGTGGTTGAAAAAGGATATCTTGCCCTACCCTAGCACTTGAAAAATTTTCATGGATGCTTTCTTTGAAAATTTTTTCTCTGTTTACATCCGAGAGAAGAAAGAAGAGGAATTTCAAGACCTCCGCTAAGGGAATATGACAATTACCTAATATGCAGTCTGATATACCCAGTTGTCTAGGTTTG